TACAGAGGGGCCATGGCTGTCCTGGCGTGGAAGTTCCCGCGGACCCGGCTGCCGGTGGGAGCCAGTGCCCTCTGCGTCGTGGTCCTCTGTTGGCTCTACATCTTCCCAGTCTACCGGCTGCCCAACGAGAAGGAGATCGTGCAGGCGGTGCTGCAACAGGGCACGGCGTGGAAGAGGAACCAGACGGCGGCCAGGCTTTTCAGGTACCTCTGCCCTCGTGGCTCCTCCCCGCTCGTGTCCTTTCCTCCCGGTGCGCGGAGGACAGGGTCACTAGCGAGGACCGCCTCGCAGAGGCATCCCTTTCATCCAGTCTTTCCTTCCCATTCCTGACCTGGAGACTTGAGGCAGGAGCTCTGACCACCCTTTACCTCAAGAAAGATGCAGACACCTGCTTTGTCCGTGCAAAAAGCCGGTACGCATTTCTGCCCAAGCCTGATTTGCAGTCTCCGATTTGGTGATAACTGGCGGGAAGGGGGGACCCAGGCGAACTTTGTGCCTTGCACTTAATGAGAATTCCTCTCTTGGGCTCTGCAAGACATCTGAAGCTATAGAGAACTAGAAGCAGGTCGGCTGTGTTTTAATGAGGTTCGGTGAATGGTTGGCAACACACATCCCTGATGAGGGACTCGTGGCCAAGTCTTGGGCAGTGAAAACATGCACACTCAGCCAGGATCCAGTGGCTTTGTGCAGTGTGACTGTCACAAACACAGGGCACTTACTGATGCCCTACTAAGAGCCGGTGCTGTGTCATTTTTATGTTGAAGTCTCAGCAACTTTCCAATGACAGCTATTAGCCCCATCTTACCAACCACAGACTGAGTCTTCAGAAGGATCTTTTTCCAAGGTCAAGTACCTTGGAAGTGTCCCTGCTGGGCTTTTCATCACAAAAGCTCTAAAGCTCCCAGATCTTTCTCTGGTATTAGGCGGGGGAAGCCTTCAGAAGGATGGAAGATTGCTTTAGGGGGGGACTTGACCTCAGAAGACAGACAAAAAAAGGTAACCAGGTTGGATACCAGAACTCTGAGGGTCCCTCAGAGGTTGTAGTTTTCCTTCCTTTCTGGGAATTTCAGCTTAACTGTCTAAAAATAAGTTCTTGGCAGCAGGGGTTGCCTGTGGATTGGAGGGAAGACAGAACTGCTTCCCACTTCCTTTCCGTCTCCCAGGGCATGTTGGGGGACACACTGGTGCTTCCACCCCTGCCAGATGCCCCTTTCACCTTCCGTCCCTGGGGCTCAGGATGCTGCGGTTGGCTCTTCCGGTGACTGTAGTGGTCTGGGCGGGGAGTGCTTTCCTCTGCTCTGCATAGGACCTTTCAGGCAGCTCATGGGCAGGTGAGAGCCAATTTAAACATTTTTTCATGACTGTTCCAAACGTTCAGAAACATCTATAAATTTTTTAAAAAGCACTTGAAAAACATATAGTTTCCTCCCTCCTCTCAGGCCTGGTCCTGGAAAGATGGTCAAAGAATTAGACAATTCTTTTGGGGAAGGTTGCTAAATTCTCCTTTAAACTGGGAAGGAAGACTTTTATTTTCTCTCTCTTTTTAGACTTCTGCTCTCATTAAGTTTAAAATCACCTCTCTCCCTTAAAAGGATATAAGGATTTATCTTCTCTGACCTCCACAGTATTGATTGTTGGACTCAAAAGCACTCAAAAGGCATAGCATCCAGCAATTCTTTTCTCTGAAGACAGAAAGCACTTCATTGTAATATAAGGAAATGAGTTAAGAGCGTCCCATTGGTTTCCAATGAAAGAATCCCCCCCCCCCTTTTTTGTATAGGAGGAGGAATAATGAAGCTCCACTGGAGAAAAGATTTCTTTTGGAAGACATAATCAAGTGGAAAATACTTGATATTCTGAGACACACAGGCTGACAGTTTTCTGAGACACATGTGCCCCTTGCTCTCTGTAGCCTGGAGTGATCTTTGGTTGTTTGGCTGTCATTTGGTCTTGTCTCCATGTGCAGAGGATTACTTACTGAAATGCACGCACTATACAAACTGCCTACACACGGATCCCCCCAAGTTAGTGCTCTACAATGGTGTACGAGGCACCGCTCCTTACTGAAAAAAGTGCGGTGCTTCAGAGAAGCCTGAATTTTTAGACTGCCTATGCCATGATTAGATAAACAGCAGAGCATCTTCATCAAGTTATTCTATCTCTTTGAGTCTCGGTTTTCTTATTTATAAATGAGATAATAACATACCTTGCAGGGTTGGTATAAGGTTTAAATAATAAAAAAATGATGATAAATGATGATAAATGTCTGGCATAGTCCAGTCAATAGTGTTATAATTTTTATAAATGATATATGTTATATGTTACAACTTAAATAAGAACAGCTTGCCAGCCCATATGAATTTGGAATATTTCACCTGCCAAATTTGTAGAGAAACTTTATTGGTCCATATTCAACCCACACTCCCTTACACTCCTTACACTTAAGCAAATAAACAGGGACAAGGAGTTTTAAATGAGAGTAAAAGTGTCATGGTTTGGTAAGTCAATTTTTTTTTACTCTCATGTTTGCAAAAATCCATTCTCTCTCTCTCTCTCTCTCTCTCTCTGTTTATTTTACCATCTGGATTTTTAGTATGCAAGTAGTAGTGTATGTTTTCTAAATATTAGATAGATCAGACAGGTTAGAGGTGGTTTCTGTGCACCTGGTTCTTGTCTTACTTGTAGGAAGGAATTCAAACAAGAGACAGTACCAAGTAGCTGCAAAGCATGCAAGAGTTTATTTGCAAGAAAAAGAAATACCCTTTGACATAGAGAGCAGAGTGGGCAGGTTAGCTGGCTGACGCAGAACCATGTGCCCTGCTCCTTTGAGCATTTTAAATTTTATACCCTGGAATTGGGTTGTGGGGGGAAAAAATACCTCCTCAGGTTTCAAAGCTACCCCACCTGGATGTTACTCTATCTGTTAGACCACATCCTGGAGGAGGTTTCAAGTCTTTGTTCTTGGGTCTGATAACTCTTGCTTAATTCTTGCGTAAGCATCTCCCATGCCTTCCCCTTGATCTTATCCATCTATCGCCATTCATGTCTATCTAGCTACCTACTCTAACTTTCCCCCCTTCAAGTGATATCGGTCAAATTTTGTTTGAAAAGTTGAGGGATGCTAGTCTGCCTTCTGACTTTACTTCTGCTGAATTGGACAAGGGAGCTGTGTTGGCCCGATAATCCCTTGCTCTCTGTCTGGGGTGGCTAGATTGGGGTGGAGTGGAAGTGCCGTGTAGCCTGGTCCAATGGATTTTGATGTATGAGCTGACAGCCTTGTTGAACCATCATTTGTAGATGTATTGCCTGTATCTGAGAGGAAAGAAAAGTTGTTTGTTTGTTATGCAGGGACCGAAGGTGCAGATAAGTATGAGAGTTATTAGGGGATCTAACAAGGGTAAGAACCAAGTTAAATTGGGAAATGCCTGCTTAATTGTATTCCAAATAGTATCTTTCATGCCTTCTAGATTAAAATTTCATAACCAAGTGACATGTTTTAGAATGGTTTGAATGTCTGCTTCAATTTGGCCAATTGTATTGATGTAAAAACAGCACGAGGTGTTTGCTAGGGTACATACGCCTCCTTGGGAAGCTACTAAGTCATCAAATGCTATGTGGTTATCAGTGGCCATGTTGGCTATTGAATTTATGGATTGAAAAAATTATCTTAAGAAAC